ATCTATGACTGTGGAAATATGTAGGAGAACCAGCCCCACATCTGCTGACTTCTGTATTGATTTTTTTCAGTACATACCCCATCATTTTACTTATATGGTTGTGACTTACATGATGCCTTTCGAATGTCGCTTAGGCAACCTATGACCTTTCTGTGCTATTGCACAATGTGTAGTTTAGTTGGAATTTAATGTGTCTGGGACAGATATTCAAATAAATCAGACGAGAACTGGAAATTCCAGATAAGATCACCTTAAACCTTTGCAAACACACATACGTGGTCAACCATGTATGATCAAAGATACTCTTAGAGTACCCAGTTAATTTCATGAGAAACTGTGTGTCATGGTAGCTGTAAGTGGGTCTATAGCGCTACCTAAAAATTAACATTTCAGCCTTTGTGTTTACTGAGGGTGAGTCTGTTAAATCAGCAATAGGCAGGCAGCTCCTCCAGCCCCAGTATAATAAAATCTGAGAAGTGAAGACTTCTGCTGTCTACTCTGTAGACTATTTCGTCTTTACTGTGCTGATGTGTACATGAGAATTAATGTTTTGGGTTTAAAGGACAGCACTTCCTGTGGAAACAGAAGACTGGGGTTCAGGCCCCTCTTCAGCCACTAAGCATGAGACCCCAGCTCTAGTTCAGCCTGTTGCTCTCTGTTCATGTCTGGGAACAATGAAAATGTAAAGTACAACCTTCCTGAATGGTTGCTGTGTGGTCTTGTAGTCTGTTCATATATGTGAGAGCCCGTTGAGGTGTTACCATCACACTCAGTAGCCCTTGCTTCCTGCATCCTAAAGAAGTAGTTGGATCAACTATGGAAGTTCCTGGGAATGTTTCTCCTCCATCTAGTAGGAAAGAGGAGGATTGATTAGACCAAAGACAAAAAGACTTTTTAAAACAAAAACTTATCAAGAAATGGTTTCACCCCTCTCCCTGACCTTCAAGGGACAATTCTTCACTGACTTCTGATCCATCTTCAGGACTCCTCTATGATGGGCAAGCTCTACAGTGATCAATCCTGGCCTTCCAGGTCAGTTTTCTAGAAGTGTGCATCCAGATGATGGCTTCAGCTTTCTGTGAAGACAGAAAGTATAACCCTCAGCTTCTAAGAGTTCAAATGTCTTCTGGTGCCATTTTGGCACTGAAGACAATATTTTCATCTATGCAACTTAAGGGGAAAATGTCCTTTGTTTCTCTCAATAAATTCTTCTACATCACCCCATCATTGTCCAGCACATACACTCCATGGTCTTAAGATTATTGCCTAAATTTGCTGCTGGCCCAAGAAAGCCTACATATAAATCCAAGAGTTCTAGAGAAAAAAGAGAAATATCATTCAAATCCCTAAACTAAATTCTTTATAAATCTTTGACATGTTTATATTTTTTCTGTCTCATGCACATTAATCAACTAATGGAAGTTTGTATGCATTTTTGATTTCCCTTATGAAGTGATTTAGGGATGCTGTGTGATATTTTTAAATCATTTTCATTTTCTCATGTATGCATGTTCTTCAAAACTTGAAAAAAAAATCTTGTTGATTTGAAGCCTAAAGAACAGTGGGGAAAAGTCATTGTATGGCACACACAGGGTCTGGGCTATTGTCCTGATTGTTCTGTCCTTGGCAGGTGACATGTCAGTGTTGTGATGTTACGATATTGCTCATTGCTGTGATTATCATTGTCAGAGCACATCTTGGTTTCAGGGCTTGAGATGTATTAGTGGGATAATGAGATAGCGAGTCTTGCTTTGTTTTCATTGAGTATTGATCAAATACATGACTGATTCTATAAAAGATGAGCAGGTTTGATTACCCATGATGCATTTCTCAGGGGCAGATAAGCCACAACTTTAATTGCAATTCTTTTTTTTTTTTTTGGCAAAAGAACATTATGTTGTTATTTGAAAATCCTTTATAAACAGCATTTGTATGTTTCTGGGGATAATTTCATGAAATTCATAAGACGTAATATTATTTAACTTGCTACTCAGGAAAAGTTTATTGGAACAAATTCACATACTCTCTTAAGAGACAAATAATGAGAGCATTGGGCCTTTTGCTTTATGGATTATGTTAAATGATGTGAGGTTAGAGTTCCTGTTTTATTTTACTTGGTTGAGAATTTTCAACTCTGTGCACTCTTTTGTGTCTTCCTAACCTTCATCACCCTTGAGATGCACTGTGCGAGTAAGGTGTGCCCAGTGCATCACCTTATGTGCGCATCTACTATCCTGAATGAAATAAAAGGCTAAGACAGCGTGAAGCTTCCTATTTCCAGTTGGTCAGTGACTATCAAGAAATAGCCATTGCTCTTCTATCATGCTTACTCTCTCCATTTCGGTCTTCACTGAGGGCCAGGACTAAAGCACTTGGCCAGAACTTATCACAGCTCTTCCAGTGAGGACCCCTGTCTCTTCTCCATGGGTAGCCCCCATGGATCACTACCCCAAACAGTTTCCTACTGTGCTTACAAAAGCTCTTCCAGAGCTCTGCCTGCCCATTGTCTAAAATGTAGGGACCAGCTGTTGACTCTGCTGTGCCTGGCAGCTTCCACTGCTGCCATCAGGATAGTGGACTTCTGGTGCCCTGAACAAAAGGGGACACATCTCTGGACAGAGGCAGCATGGTTCTGGTGATTAAGCTTGCTACACTGTCAGAAGAGACGACATAGCCTTTTTGCAAGCTGTTAGAAATGTAACTGCCTGATGTGTACTGTTTCCTTGGGACTATGTTTAGTGTTAAAAGAAAAGAGTTGTACTCTTGCTTTTCTGAAGCATTTCATGATAAGGGTGGGACTGAATGGGAACACAATTTAGAACGGTACCCTCATGTTTTTTCAAAGTGCCAACAGGCAATGGGGGATGGCACAGATTTACAAAGATCATGTGAACAAACACTCCGAAAAATAAGCTTCTTATCCTTATCAAAGAATGGTTCATGTCACATCGGGGTTTTCACTTGAAAGAGAAGGCCATGTTTAAAGACAAATAGGAATCCTGTAATTTCTCAGTTACCAGAAGTGATACTGTTATTTTAAGTAGCAAAGAAAGCACGGAGGATATTCCACTACTGTCCTGTAGGCTGCATGTTTTATTACTCTGCGTGAGTGAAGAACCAGCTTCCTACCATGCTACAAAGAAGCAGGAAGACACTGGTATTGCCAAGTTCTGGCTCCTCTAACCCTGCTCTTACACCAACCACCTCAAACACAGGCAAGGGAAACTAGCAAATACACACTCACTTCTTGGTGAGGGTTTCAATTCCCAAAGTGAGTATTCAGTTTGAGTTTAAATTTTTTTCCTAAAACAAAATGTGTAAACTCCTGCAAGAATTCAATATAAGCAAATCACAAGAAAATAAAGCCAAATTATAGTGCAAATTGTGATTAAATTTTAAGTCCAGGACCTGCTATCCCTCTCCTTATTCCGCCTAATGTACGCTACGTTGACACTACCAGTCTTTTTTTCTTCTTCTTTTTTTATTATTTTTAAAATTTATTTTACATACCAACCAATTTCTCCTCCCTCCTCTCTTCCTGTTACCTCCCCCCACCTCCCAGCTACCTGCCCCATGCACTCCTCCTGCATTCAGAAAGGGGCAGGTCTCCTCTGGGAGTCAGCAAAGCACGGTATATCAGGTTGAGGCAAGACAAGCTCCTCCCCCTGCCTCAAGGTTGGGGGAGGCATCCCAGCATGGGGAATAGGTTCCAAAAAGCCAGGTCATGTGCCAGAGACAGGTCCTGATCCTACTGCTAGGGGTCACACAAACAGACCCAGCTACACAACTGAAACATACAAAGGGCCTAGGTCAGTCCCATATAGGCTCCCTAGCTGTCTTTTCAGATTCCATGAGCTCCCACTACCTCAGATCAGCTGTCTCTGTGGGTTTCCCCATCATGATCTTGATTGCCCCCCAGCTTGCTCCCTGCCTTCCACTGGACTCCTGGAGCTGGGCCCAGTGCTTGGCTGTGGATCTCTGCATTTGCTTCCATCACTTACTGAATGAAGGCTCTATGATGAAGATTAGGGCAGTGATCAATCTAATTACAGGAGAAAGCCAGTTCAGGCACCCTCTCTACTATTACTAAGAGTCTTAGTAGGGGGTATCCTTGTAGTTTCCTGGTACCACGTTTCTCCCTAACCCGTAATAGCTCCCTCTATCAAGATATCTCTTTAATTACTCTCCTCATCCATCCTACCCCCAACTCAACCAACCAGATCCCTCATGTTCCCATCCCCCATCCCTACCTTCTACCCCCCAATTTACCCAGGAGATTGCATCTATTTTCCCTTCCGAGGGAAATCCATGCCTATCTCTTAGGATCCTCCTTGTTACCTAGCTTCTCTGGGGTTAACAGTGCCAATCTGAACACCACATCTTTCTCTTTGTTCTCCTATGGAGCATTGCTGTGATAGCAAAGATAACTAGTCAGTGGGGACTATATGAGACCAGGGTGAATCCTACATTGTATGAACAGCTATTAATATTTAAAACACTGTCTGCTCTCTGGCACAGTGGTATTACATCATTATTTATACAATGGAACCTGTCACTGATTAGAAGGTTTTGAGTGTTTTAGCATGCCAGTCATGAAGTGGGAGATATAATTATATTAATGCAATTAAAATGTACAAAAAGGTGAAGTTTTTTTTACATTATTTTAAATGTTTCTGATATTGTCTGATCCAAAAATAACTACTTGATTAATTTGCTTCATAAGAAATATCTCTATGTAGGTCAGGATGAGATCATTTGAAAAATCTACTCCTCTTACAATATTTAACACACACACACACACACACACACACACACACACACACACACACACCCTCTCATCTGGAGCTGAATTATATGGTCATTATAGTTCTCAGAATTCAAGGCATAGACAGCTGGAATCATGTGCATGTGATAATTCTAGGCTACTCTCAATAAATAATACATGTCATTTCTGCTTCACTGAGACTGCCACTGACTGCTCTAAATGACTTTCAACGCAGGGCCCAGCCTGCTCTCCCAGAGTGCACTTCAGCTCAATTCCAAACCTGAAGGGTCTTTCCAGTATCCGGCCAGCTACCATAGCAACCAGACCCTGGCCCTGGGTGACACAGCCCCTTCTCAGCTCCCAGCACGCAGCACACAAGCCCGAGCTGCCACCCAGAGCTTCAGCCAGGTAAGCACCCTTTGCTTTTTTGTGGGGGTACGCTCCAGGGGAGCAGATTCAGAGACAGGGGCCACAAAGAATGTTTCTGTGGATGTGTGGAACAACTTACAAAAAGCTCCTTTGCTGTGAATGAATTAAAGAAATGTCTGACTATGAGTGTAGAGTAATACACAATAGGCAATGTTTTCTTTAGGAATGTCTGTGAGTTGATAATCTTGTGTCTCTGTTGTAGATATTTACTGCCTGAATATGTAAATGAGATATAGTTAACCACTCTTCCATCTATCTGTGTTATCAGTAGATCATACAGTCTGAATTTCTGAGTTTACCTGGGAAAAGGACAATAGTCTTTATTCTTAAAAAAAAAAAAAGGCCTGCAATTATTGTTTGAAGTTAATCTTATCAAGGAGCAATACAAACTCTTAATCAAATATAGAGAACTAGACTGTAGATAATTGTGATTACCTTAAGAATAGTTATACATTGTAAAATCAGATTTTGAAGTATACCCTTAATTGTTTCTTTAAGGCATGGGAGTATTCTTACAATTTCACTGCACAAATTCATTATCTGTGGTTAAAAACAACTTGGTTAAAATCAGACAAGTCTAACACATGGGGTGCTCATGGACAGGAGAGTGTACATACACACATACAGGTGCACACATGCACACATGCACTCATGCACTCTCTCCACACACGCACACACACGCACACGCGCTCTCTCTCTCCTCTCTCTCTCTCTCTCTCTCTCTCTCTCTCTCTCTCTCTCTCTCTCTCTCTCTCCTTTGAAAACTTTTATACCACCTAAAAGAAAATGTGTGTTTGTGTGTGTGTGTGTAACATTTTTGTTTTCATGGTTTGGATTATTATATATTCAGTTATATGTTATATATTCAGGGTTAGTCAACCCACAAGAATTAACTGTTATCTTCCTTAATGAAATTTTGAGCATATTTTCAGCTGTACAAGAAATTCTGAACTTATATGATTTAGATCCTGGACCAACAACTCCAAGCTTTTAAATGAGGAGGCTAGTAATTTCTTAGGCATTTGCTGAGTACTGCACTTACCAAGAGCCCTTCCCAAGTCCTAGGGCACATCACTGAATTCTGTAAGCCTCTAGCCCATCTATCTCTCTAACTGATTTCATATTATTCACCCATGTATCTTTCCAATAAAACAGAGAGGTACTTGAAAGCAGGCTCTCCTCTATGAAACAGGACCTCAAAGGCCATGAGGATCAACACAATGTATAGAGACAGGGTTAGATTATAATGGCCTCATGTAACCACTACAGCAATCAGGTGACATTGTGCATTTAATTTCTAAAAGTTAAATCATTTTGATAATTGTATTTAAAAATGACTTCTTTCCTGGAACAACTGCCTTCATGGATGTAGTTTTGTAAACATTACAGTCTTGTGTGCTGGGCTGTAACAAAGTAGATGAAAGAGAATGAGAAAGCAGTTCATGGGCTTGAATGTGTGGCTCTCTGCCTCCCATGAAAGTTTAATCAGAAAGTGTTACTACAGTGTAAGGATGTCACAGCTATGTGTTTGGAGTCATCCTGGTTGTAGTTTGAAGGCACCAATGAGTGCCAATACTCAAGATAGAACTTGAATGGGTGTCAGATGTTGTGGAGTAAAGAGGTGGTATCAAGAAGTCTGAAGACACAAACCAGATACTGATGGACCAATGATGAGATGGGAGTTGACCAAATCAACTCTAAAAAGCTTGCTGGTTTTTGGTAATTGGACCCATGATGAACTCCAGCTGTGTGCTGTCTTTGAGAAGCTGCCTCGCTGAATACCCTATAGGTCCTGTAATTTCAAAGTAATAGCAATGAAATGCTGAACCAGAAAACTAGCAATTAAACCAAACAATTAGTGTTACCTTCTTGAAAACAGAGCAGCCAGGTCCCATTTCAGAAACATCGCATTCAGATCCATTGGTTTACAAAGCCCATTTGATATATTCTTGTCAATATTAATTAATTTTTTGAATGTCCTGCCGTTAACAAGTGCTACAGGGGTAAGTAAGCCCAAATTGTGACTAATGGATGATGAGCTGAGTAAGATCAGTAATCAACAGAAAAAAATGTTTATCCATTCTCTCTAAAACTTGTAATTCTAAGGTAATAGGGGTTGTTTCTGTCTTGCTCACAAATCATACCCCAATGTGAATATGAAGCTGTGCCATCAGTGTTTAAGTTTCTGGTTTCAACTTTTCGGAAGACTCTAGTTGATCCAACTGCCTAAGCGTTTACTGAATGGTCATGACTAATTCAGCAGTCAGCCTTAGGGATGGATTATATCCTCGTTGTTGTGTCCTCTCAGAACCCTGTCAGTCACAGGAATCACTGTCAGACAGTTCTCGTGTATTCCTGGCTAGACTTTTTTCAGACACTAAGGTGAGTTTGTAAAGTTGAATTGGGGGACAGCAGATGTACAGCCCACCCCAGCAAATGTCATATCCAGGAAGTGATGGAGCCTGATTTGTCTCCATCTCTCTTTTCTCCATCTCAGAGGCTCTGCCCATCCAAGCTGCACACCTGTCATAGTTTTTAAGCAGGCAGTGTGGATTCCTGTTCCTCATCTGCTTGCTTCTTCCTAGCCAGCATTGGCTGTTATAAAGCAGTGCTAATCAAATCAAGCTTCCCTCCCACTTCCTTCATCTATTACTTCATCCGTTCATTGATTCATCAAGATGTTTATTTTGCACTTATTTAGGGCATGAGCCTGTGTTCTTCGGATAGTGTCCCTGGTCCTTGGGGACCCTTTATTCTAGCTGTACACATGGAAATCAGAAAGTCAACACTTCAAATAACATGCATAGTGTATATCATATATTAGAAGGTGATGAACACTGAGGAAAAGAAATGGACACAGAATAGGATGATACTCGAAGAGGAAAGTGAGACCCTGTAGAATTTTGTGGAGGAGACATTTAGAGAGGTCCGTGGTTATCTGGGGGATGATGAGTGTAATGGCCTCCAGGTGGAGTTGTCGGGCACGTTAATAAAACAACACATAGGTCAGGGAAACTAGAGCAGGGTACCCAGATTTGCCAAGTGACAGGAGAGGGAATCATTGGTAGAGACCATCTCTGAATAATCGAGAAGCCAGTGAAGAGTTCCAAGGAGAGAGCAGTCACATATTGTTGCATAAAAGATCCCCATTGGTTTGATTCAATGCAGAGTTTCCCCTACAGAAAATAATTTCTATATTCTCAATAACTAGCCTAAGGTCCACCAAATTCCATGAGGTTCTGCCAACATCACAGAGATACACTATAATGATACCATATCAGCCTCTGAGTAGGTTGGAGAACAAGGAGTTAGTTAGCCTCTAGGCTTTGCTTGCTTCCATGGATGCAAAATTTCCAATGTATTACTTGAAATGTTGTATGAACAACTTATGGCATAAAAGAACCACTCTGAAAATGATTCTTTTCTCATGCCTAAACATAAAATAAAATCATCTAGCAAGTCACTGCTAAAAGAAACAAAAGAAATGAGTATTGGAACACAGACATGTTTTTTAAAGCCATCCAAATGTTTCCAGGAAGGAAATATGCCTTGCTAATCCTAGGGAAATGGCCATCAGGAAACTCAGAATCATGTAACAGAATCATGTGACAGTTATCTAAAATGAAAACATAACAATAATGCACATTCTAGATGAACAACAAGCTTTTGTAGTCCTGCCTATCTGTTTAATGTTTGTTACACTGACTTCATGTCTTAAAAGTCCCTGTAAATGCTATATCATAATTATGAATATGTGAGTGCTCATGTCTCCCAGAGGCAAGTGAGTATATTGTTGAAACACTGACATGTAGATGGCTACTTTATGAGTAGTGGTAGGATAAATCCTAAAGTCCCCTATCCTGAAGAGAAGAAAAAAGTTCCCAATAATCAGCCATTGTATTGATCTCAGCTTAGAAAAGGCCACTCTTGCTTGCTTAATCATAAATTATCTTGAAGTAATAGTTTGGTAGACAAGTTACATTACATTTAGAAAACACACCTTTGCATAGATATATTCCATGTAGAATGCACAGAATGCATCTGGCATGAAGTATTTAGAGGAGAAAGCATGTTGTTTTATGCATTTTATTTGGTATATCTGTGGGACACTAGCAGGAGAGTTTTTTTTCAGATAGTTTTAAAATGCTTCTGGTAAATCTGCATTTCATGCTTTGCTTTCGAATCTTTCTCCCCTATTTTTCCTTTCTAGCATAAATATGCTTAATCTGGCTTTGACAATTGAAGTGTTTTGTATTGCAGGGAGTGTATATTTGTGTTCCAAGCTAACATTTCCTTTTCTGTGCAAATATTTAGATTATTAAAGTTGTACTGACAAAGCTTTGTGCTGAAGTGAAGGTTTCATGTGATGTATTTCTCCAGTGTTCCTGTAGATTTTAAAAAGATTCACCACTAAGACACCTTCGTATGCATTTTTTATGATAAATATTTACAGGATCTCTGTGTCGTTGTTTAGTGATTTCTTCTCCACTCTTCTTTCTGTTTGGGGTTTATAGAAATGGCCATAGACAAAATACTTATTAGAATACCCTATTAGCTATGACCCTATCAAAATTTATTCAAGGGAAGATAAAGGACAGGAAAAAACAGTATCCCAGGATCCAAAAACTTGTAGCACTGTGTTTGTCCTAATGGCATCTTGAAATACTAAGGATTTCAGGAGTGGAGAATTTGAATACTTGGTACCTCCTGTCTGCATTGCCAGGGGCCTGATGGCTTGCAGGCTCTCTCCACATCTCTGACTTGTCTTCTCCTTCTCCCTCCTCCTCTTCTTCCATGCCTTCTTTTCTTATTAATTAATTTTTTCATTTATTTTACATTTACATCCCAACTGCAGCTTGCCCCTCCCCTCCCCCACTTCCCCTCCCACCTGCCCTCTGCTGCTCTTCCCAATCCACCCCTCTTCCACCTCTGTTCAGAAAGGGGCAGACTTCCCGTGGGTGGGAACAAATCATGTCATATCAAGTTGAGGTGGGACTATGTTCCTCTCCTTGTATTAAGGCTGGGCAAGGCAACCCAGCTTTAGGAATAGGTTCCCCTAAACCTGCCTAAGCCAGGCCTTCTTCTTGCTCCTTCTCCTGTCCCCACTGTCCTCACCCTCTTCCTTATCTTTCCCCTCCTCTCTCCATTACCTTCTATAATTTTAGGACCCTCCAGTAAAAAGTAAGCCACGGGGATGGTCTCTGTGATGATCCACAAGGTTATAGTTGGTCTTTAGGCCCTTTAACTGAAGGAAGGAAATTATCTTTGTTTTTTTTCCAATAAAGTTGAATTTGCCAGTGAGATGTTACCCACAATTTTACCAGCCCTTCATTTCCCACTGATGGTAACCATTAGTTAATGCCTTGGGGGCCAGTGTGGGCCCTGTACATAGATGCTGTCTCTTCTCTTTGTGTTGTTTATCAGTTTTTATCAAAGACAGTACCCTTGAGAAAATCACTAGGCATGCATCACATCATTTTATTTGACTGTTTCCAAAATAAAATCTTTCTTACAGTACCAGAATCTTCTTCCTTTGAAATTAAAGGTTGCTATCCCTTTCTATATACCACTGCAGAAGAACAATTAAAAAATTCCTATGGACAATGGTAGTGATACAAAGCAAATTTGTTATTGTACAGGGAGCAAATTCAGGGAATGTAACTTATTCGGGGATGTAAATTTATCCTCATAGTTACATTTTCTAGAATGCTTTAGTGAAACCATTGGCATTTTAGAGTTGGTAATTTTTGTCTTTTGAAAGGTTGGAGAGTCAACAGCTTTGTCCATACTTGTGGGAACCCCTGAGCTCCAGACAAGTGTCTTCTAAGAAACCCAAATGATTTCTCTAGAGCTTTAATCAGTCCTGAGCTGATGTTACAAAATCACCTTACTTGATGGCTCTCAGTGAGAAATCAATGTCTCCAAAGATGTCATTGTAGTGCCTTGTCATTCATTCCAGCTTTCCTGAGTCACTGGAGGAGTGGGCCTCAGTCATTACCTTACTGTCTAATCACTTTGCAATCACCTAGACTGCACTGTATTAGTTCCTGCAAATGTCATGCCAAGGCCTTCCCAATGCAAGCCAGGGATGCATTCCTTCTCCTCCCTTGGCAGCCTGGGTGTGGAGGTTCTGCTTGCTTTGAAATGCACAGTCCAGACTTTCTGTTCATGACCCTGTGCTGACCCAGATATGCTTCTGCTAGCTGAGATTTAGTTACCACCATTCAGAGCTGTCTTCAGAAGGGACACCTTTAGTGACAGGTCTGTCCATGTGTTGTAACTATGGAAAACTGAGAAAGGGCAAAATATGCTAAAATGGAGGCAGCAAGCTGTAGCCATTCAGGAGGCTCATCTTGGGAAGCCACCAACCAGTCAGTGACTTCAGTTGCCCATTCCTGACTGCATTGTGCTAGCTGCCTAGCATTCTGGGCAAACATCACTCCTCTCCCAGAGCTAGGGGCCTTCTGACTACTTCAGCAAACTTGGCAGGTCTCATTGTATCCTCACAAGGATTGTCATAAGTCAGGGACCTGTTTTATAAGATGTGGGTAGTGTGATGGTATATCTATGATTGGAACTTAATTTAGTGTGATGGTAGTATACCCATGATTGGAACTCAAGATTCCAGAGAGCTTGTTAGCTGTCAGGTTACTCAAGTGCTGGCACTACGTCACTGGGGTTTTTCTTTCTTCTTCTCTCCTTCTGTTGTGCTTTGCTTTGTCTACATTGTCAGAATACCAGAAAAAAAAATAAGCATCTGGGCTCTAAGAAAGGTCCCCTCTGTGACCTCTTTGCTGTCCCTGGTTCTTTTGTAGATGATTCAGAATGAAGATCAGGAAGCAACTGTATGCTACTGAGGCCATTGCAACTTTCTGGATTAAACCCACCAGATTCTCAGGGTCTCCATTCTTCCAAAACAGAACAGTATCATGTTTGTGAGCCAGATAGTATGCAACACACTAAAATACAATGAAATAATAGCACTTAAAAGGACTGTATTCAAGAGGACTGACTGGTGAACCTGCTTCGAAAGCACATGTCTTAACATGCTGGGGCAGTTCCTCTAGTTGGTGACTTGTGGAGGTAGTGAGTGAACTAAGTGATGTATGTAGTGAGATATCCACCCTGCCCACACCTGTAGCATTGGATATGGTCACAGGTGAGGATGTGATGGAGGGAGGACTAGATCTAGAGCTCCCTCTTGCTTCTGGTAGGGTCATAGGAAACATCCTGGATGGATCCTTGGAGCTGGAACTTGTGGTGGTCACCCACACCTTGTGAAGTGCATTCTCCCCAAATAAACTTCATTTAGCCTGTACTGAGTCTAGTGAATCTTGATTCCCACACAATAGATATATCAACCTGATGCTCTGTTTTAAAGC